ATCATCTCCCGCTGGATTCCCGGGACTGATACAGCTGCCCAGGTAGACAAACTTGTCTATTACATCAAGCGGCTCATCTGCAAGCATAAGGTAAGGGTTCGATCCTAACCAGTCTTGCGCTAGCACCTTGCACTTTGCAAGAGTGAAGCGCATGCCAAACCGTGAGTCAGAATCGTTTCGACTGTTTAATATTGTTTGCTTTACCGCGGTGTCAGATACGAGAAGAGCTATGTCGTCTGCATACTAAACATCCGTGAGCTGATGTCCCGGGAGCGTTTCGACTTCACAGGCATTAGAGGCTGGTAGTGAGTCTTCCATAATCGCATCAATGACGAAGTTGAAGAGGAATGATGGAACAAGACATTCTGCCTGACACCACTTGATGTGGTGGACGGAAGTTGGCGGACAGCGCCTTGAGGAGGGACAAGAATTTATGAACCACCTTTCAGATGAAGGAATACAACCACTGTGGGCTGCTAGAAGCAGTGCCGCTGTTCTGGAAGCTGTCGGAGGGTGAAGATATGATCGATGCACCCTCTTGCAGGACGGAACCCAGCTTGGTTTTCACGGATCTGCCTCTCCCTGTGTTCAGTCAACCGTCGAAGGATAAGACCAGGGAGAACTGATGCCACAGCTAACAGGCTGATGCCCCGGTGATTTTCACACAAGGTCCACGCACCCCTTCTGAAGATAGGGATAACTGTCGGCATGCCCATTGTGCAGGGATCTTCTGTTCGTTCCATATAACACCAATAATTTCTGTACGGATACTTTATTTATTCCGACGGGAATCAAGGTTTACAGTCCATTCGCCCGTATGTATTATTTCCACAGGTTGTGTTGCAGGAGGCCAGCTAAGCTGCTCCCCGAAGTGTTTGGCCCATTTCCCCGATCGAAGTTTTTTGCGACAAATCACTTATCGTTTCAATGAACGTTGCTTTCCTAGGGGCAGTCGATCGTATCAGTTGATATAGGGCACGGATGTTTCCCGTAGCGAGAGCCTTCTCCATTTCCCGAGCTTTCGATGTCCACCAGAGCTCCCGGTCTTCCCTTAGACTTTTCGCTATTTGTCGTTTCAGGGATTTCCCTGGGCTGTCGTACTCGCTGCCTACTGTTATGGCTTTCCTGACATCAATCATGGACAGCAATCCCGACGACATCCAGTGGTCTTGTGGTCGAATCGGAGAAGTCGAATTGACAGCACCGAACGGCGCCAACATAGCTTCTTTCACAATTTGACACGCTTCATTCACAGACTCACCGACACCACAGTATTTGTTTACTGTGGAGGGCTGTTGGGTTAGCTCAGATCGGCACCGTTGAGTTATGGTAGTTCTTCAATGGTAGTGCATTGGAACGCTTCTTGCTGGTTTGCGACGGCCCGGAGGGAAGAAAATTGTCAGGCGTGCACGCACCAAGGCGTGATCGGAATCAGGTTGTGTGCCCCAGAAGGAACGACATTCTTGAATTGTGGCTCTCCACCGATGGCTGATGGCCACGTGGTCCAACTGGGTCTAGGGTTGACTTGTAGTTGGTGGCCGCCAGGTTACGCTATGAGAACGTTTATGTTGAAAGTTTGTACTTGCCAGAAACAGTTCATGACCAGCACACAACTGAAGGAGTCGATTTCCGTTGTCTGTGCGGCGAGTATCGACTCCGAATCAACCTCCCAAATGTGATTCCAAAGAGCTCAGAAAACCTACTTCAGCATTCATATCACCTTCAAGGATCACAATGTCCGTGCTTTTGGCTTGACAAATCAGCCCAGACAGCTCCCGAAAGTATCCTTTTCTCAGTATCAGAACTGCAGTCCGGTGGGACATAAGCCGGCACCACAAACAGACACCGCTTTCTATGCCGAGAGGCATTTAGTTTGATTGAGTTGGATAACCGGACGGTTGCTCACTGGGATTCAATCCAACAAGGCGCGTTCAGCTCTGGGGCTGTGTCACTCACACGACACATGTTCCACGAACCACAGCTTCAGGATCACTGGACACACAGAGGGATAAATATGACAGAGCTAAGTTCATGCTTGGCTTTTTGAGGTGCATAACCACGCTTGGATCTTGTATGTGTGTTTCGGAGACACAGCATACATCAATTTGGGAGTATAAGGTTACAGCAAACACTCCGTTTGCCAATTTGACATACAGCACGGACGTTGGAAGCTCCTATGTAGAAGGAATCTCGTGGATTTAGAAGGGTGTTCTTTTGTTTATTTTTAATAAGCAGAGAGCAGCATAAGGCCCATTCGCTATATCTCCCTGAATCTCAAGGGACGTGTGTATCAGGTTACAGTTCGGGCTATTTTGTCATATGGCTATGAGACTTGGCCTGTTCGAGCAGCGGAAAGGAGAAGTCTTCAGGTGTTTGACAATCATTGTCTCATAAGCGTAGCTCGTGAAGGTTGGTTCCATAGAATCCATAACCAAGCCATTAGAAAGCGAGTGTCTGGTTGTGTAAAAGGGGCTTGTATCGAAGAATGTGTCCAGCACGAAGAGCTGCGTTGTTTAGGCTATAGGTCACGTACACCATTTGTCAAAGACAGTGCTGTTTGTTATGTTCAACTCAGAGAGATGGCCAATGTTTGACCTAACAGAGGAGTACGAAGGGGATTACGAAGTGTTTGGATGCGTTCGGTGCTGCTTACCTTACAGGATGCGGACCATGTGATTCCCAGTGCGCCTGGTTGGAGACGCTGTAAGATATGACAGCTCATCGATGTCGATGGCACTCTTGTATTCCGTTTCTATCCAGATTGTCTGAATGTGTTTGGAGGTGTATGTTCCTCGGAATTATTGTGGTAGTCTAGCATCAAGCCCCTTCTCCGTCCACTTTTATTGTTTTCTTCACAGTAAGGCTTTCAAACTAATTAGGGTTGTACGCCAGCGAAGCGTCAGTGTTGAACACTAATGTTATGCTGTCCATGATCATGACGATTGCAATAGTCTACTTTCCCATCCCACGGTCGGATAGATTTTGAAGCAAGTCAGTGTGCACCACAAGAAACCTAGCCTGTATGGGATTACACAAAGGTGTAGAGTGGGATAGAGAAACCCGTAGTGTGCGTAAACGGCACATTACCTTCCGTTTTTCAGCCCACAAACCGTGCACTGAAGTCTAACGTTTCTAGCTGCTACAGCTTCACTCACCGAGAACAAAGCTAATAAGGTGGTGATAACACCCCATCGAAACCGACGGCCCAATCAGTTCACTGACGCCGAGTGGTCCTACTTGTCATATATGACAGAGCTATACATTGAGGGCGATAGCTTTGACACAAGACTGCCAGCGTGACACAGCCATATCTGCTAGAGTCACTAGTTACTGGTTTATCTCGTCCCGCGGTTACCATCCTGAGAGAGAAGTTAACAGTGAGACTCAGCTGACAAGTAAAGGATTTCCTGCTTTGTTGCCAAGTTATGGACCGAATGCGTTTGAATCGTCTCCATCCGACACGACGGGTGAGATACGGTCAGACTTCCCAGGCCTGGAGAAGAGCAGTCAAAATGCAGAGGTTGGGTTCGAACTACGGACGTTCCGGTCAGCAAGTTCCAGCTCTGACCGCTGAGCTATCTCGAGCCGTCATAAAGAGACTGGACCTAACCGTGGTGTGACGGTTTGCGCACCTCAGCGATCCATTGAGCTATACTGGAGAGTGTCCCGCGACACTCTTGTATTCCGTTTCTATCCAGATTGTCTGAATGTGTTTGGAGGTGTATGTTCCTCGGAATTATTGTGGTAGTCTAGCATCAAGCCCCTTCTCCGTCCACTTTTATTGTTTTCTTCACAGTAAGGCTTTCAAACTAATTAGGGTTGTACGCCAGCGACGCATCAGTGTTGAACACTAATGTTATGATGTCCATGATCATGGGGATTGCAATAGTCTACTTTTCCATCCCACGGTCGGATAGATTTTGAAGCAAGTCAGTGTGCACCACAAGAAACCTAGCATGTATGGGATTACACAAAGGTGTAGAGTGGGATAGAGAAACCCGTAGTGTGCGTAAACGGCACATTACCTTCCATTTTTCAGCCCACAAACCGTACACTGAAGTGTAATGTTTCTAGCTGCTACAGCTTCACTCACCGAGAACAAAGCTAATAAGGTGGTAATAACAACCCATCGAAACCGACGGCCCAATCAGTTCACTGACGCCGAGTGGTTCTATTGTCATATATGACAGAGCTATATATTGAGGGCGATAGCTTCGACACAAGACTGCCAGCGTGACACAGCCATATCTGCTAGAGTCACTAGTTACTGGTTTATCTCGTCCCGCGGTTACCATCCTGAGAGAGAAGTTAACAGTGAGACTCAGCTGACAAGTAAAGGATTTCCTGCTTTGTTGCCAAGTTATGGACCGAATGCGTTTGAATCGTCTCCATCCGACACGACGGGTGAGATACGGTCAGACTTCCCAGGCCTGGAGAAGAGCAGTCAAAATGCAGAGGTTGGGTTCGAACTACGGACGTTCCGGTCAGCAAGTTCCAGCTCTGACCGCTGAGCTATCTCGAGATCAAGCCGTAAACGTCCCGCGGTTACCATCCTGAGAGAGAAGTTAACAGTGAGACTCAGCTGACAAGTAAAGGATTTCCTGCTTTGTTGCCAAGTTATGGACCGAATGCGTTTGAATCGTCTCCATCCGACACGACGGGTGAGATACGGTCAGACTTCCCAGGCCTGGAGAAGAGCAGTCAAAATGCAGAGGTTGGGTTCGAACTACGGACGTTCCGGTCAGCAAGTTCCAGCTCTGACCGCTGAGCTATCTCGAGATCTGTCAAGCCGTAAAAATGCTTCTGCACGATGCCGCATTCTTTTTGGGCTTACAGCTAACAAGCGCGATCGATCCAAACTGACAACATGACAACAACTGCAGTTACAGCCCTAATGGTCATAAAACGTGGTTGTAGTAAAGGGTCGCAAAAACGAGGAATCCATAGGCATAAACTAAAGTTGCCAAATTAGGAGAATTCGAATTCGAAAGCACACGGACGTGACCGTTAAAAATTTATGGCACGAAACAGTGAGCAAGTGAGGTGTTGAGTAACAAACAAACTGAAACCCAGTTGAGTGGAAAATGGAAAGAAAAAGTAAGTGATATGTATGGTAAGTATTACAGTGTTATCAATCCGCCCATTGCATCGTAGTCTGTTTCTTCCTCTTCTGCAGGAGAGTACTTACGAGAGCGTTCGGACGGAACAGCAGGGCGACTATCACCAGAGCCTGCACGTCTTGTGGATATTGGTGAGGAATCCTCTATGATATGTTCTGACCTACGGCCGCTGATGCTGGAAACTGTTGAACGATAGTTTGGTGGCAAGCAAGTGCGTTGGTCTGCTGGTCGCACTGTGATGATCAGATTCGAACTGTTGGCAACCATCATGTCGGTAACCTGATCCATTGTTTTACCAGCCACTTCAATGCCATTCACTTCTATGATCTCATCATCCTCAGCCAGCAAGCCCGTGCCATAAGCGACCCCGTCTCGATCTAAGCGAGAAACGAAGAAGGCTGGCACAGCCTCATATCCGTTGATGGTGTGGTGATGACTGACTCCACTGCGGATATACAGGCCAAATTGCTTGTTTGGTGTTCGGACAAGGCGCACACTAGGGAGAACCAAAATAATGGTTAGAAAAAAAACAGCTACCGCAACAAATAATACCGATATTTAAGATACTCAACGTTCTTCTGTAAATACGCGAACAAATGAACAAGACGGCAAAAATAAAACAACGGGGAATATCATTACGTTTAAAGGTGTGCTACCATCTTTGGTGCACACAGCCACGATAATACTATAAATAGTGATGGGCCGAGCGGAGAGCGGACTAGAGATAATTAGAATGCTCCGTCGTTACCCTCCATTTCAAAGTGACAGGCAAATCTCCTGCTTGTCAGAAGTCACTGTTCTGCACATTTTGATGCTGACACAAGAAAAGTAGGCAATAACATAGAGCAAACTCTAGCCATAGACAGTACAGTGATCAGTTCAAATTTAGGTGGCATGAGAATATTGTTAGTTGTGTAGAGAATAAGTGTTCGATCAGCCAATAACTCCCCACGCTTCCGCTCTCAAAGTGTATTCAGCCTGTCTTACTCAACCGACAAATTGAGGGGTTGATAGCAAATCGAAGGACGCTTCTCTCTTATTCTTTTTCCGCTGGAACTCTTTGAATTTTGTCAGAGCGCTTGGAAGCAAGTACATTTTCCGAACACATTACGACCTGCTCATCGGAACTATTCCTGAACATTTGGCGTTTTCAGGAGAAATGGAGAAAACTGGATCGTTGTACCAAACGGCCAGCCAATTTTTTTTCAGATGCAATCCTCAACAACCACAACTGCTCGTCAAGGATTAGCAACAGGAACCTAAAAAAGCATCGTTACTGGGCTGCACTGCTCCTAACAGATAAGCTTTTTCGCTAATGACGTTCACTAAGAGATAGGTCATTGTGCTACGGAGTTAGATAAGAATACAGGTCACGTGTAAACGTTACCAAAATGGAAGACTCAGCGGACTAACAAGCAAACTAAAACACGAGTGCGGTGTCAAAACACCAACGTAGAAACGCCTGTTTGTGCCCAAAGGCTTCAGAGTTTCAAACGAACCGCAATTAACCCTTCAGAAAGAATTACATGATATGCTACCTATATATTCTAGAAGCCGAACAAAAAGTTCTAAGAATGCATTTGACCCGACAGATCATAGAAGTTCGTTTCACATCATGCCGAGAATTTTCATTCTAGGTTATATATATATAT